TTTATCGCGAACGCATAATTCAGCGAAAGCGTTAAGCGTATACGTGTTTATGTTACGTTTTACAAGGTTCTTAACGCCGGCGAATTTATGGCGATCGATCGAACGAGATTTGGATTCGATCTGAACGTTGCTTCGTGAAAATGGATGGTGGTTTCTAAGGAAAGGCAACGCTGCGGACATTTTGCCCCGAGGAATCGTCTCGTTTCGTTCTTTCCAACACAGATATTGTAGATTCCACCTCGAACTTGAAATTTTGTTCGACAACGACAATGACGAAATAACGTGAAACAATGAAAAAATTTCATTACTCTCGAGTAAACTAACTAACATTTCGTGTTCCACTCGCGGATAATTTTGAATTTTAATTTTAACTCGTTTAAATCTTCAAGTCTTTAGTGTTCAATTGAATAAATATAAACGTGGACATTTATTTGTATTTATTCGTACAAATGTGAATGAAATATTTATACGAGTAAGTATAAATATTTCCATGCCAGAAGATGAGTTAAATATGTTTCATTACAACAACAACGCATACCACAGGAATTAATGTCTGCAATTTTATATTTTTATGTGGATAATTAAGAAGGAAACTGTGTTTTCCCCAGTCGAGAAAAAAGATCATCCATCTGCAATATTCAGGGTTTCTTTGATCTGAAAGATGCTTCGTTAATTGTTTTTCAACGTCCTTCTTCATCAAGGGTTAAATGACATTTGAAGCGATTAGAGAGGAAAAAGCAAGTAACAATATTGGAAATCTAAGATTCGTAATATTTTATTATTTTATTATATTATATTTTATTATTTTATTATAATGCTGAACTTTACTTCGACTAAAAAATGTATTATTAATTGTTTTTTTAATATTCTCTTTCATTAGTTGTTAAATTAAGTTGCTGCGCACCTTTCATAGTAACTTCAACAAAATGAAAAACTACAAAAAACCAAGTAAGAATGGAAGAACGAGAACTCGCAATACTACATTATGACTGAAAGTAACCTAACCTAAGAAATGTATTATTAATTGTTTTTCAATATTTTTCTCCATTGATCGTTAGGTTGAGTCGCACATTTGAAGTGATTTTAATAAAATGAAAGATAGAGAAAGCCAGGTAAATAATAGTAGAACGAAAACTCGTAATACCTCGTTATGATTAACTGAACGAAACTTAACCTAAAAAATGTATTATTAATTGTTTTTCAATATTTTTCTCCACTGATCGTCAGGTTGAGTCGCACATTTGAAGTGATTTTAATAAAATGAAAGATAGAGAAAGCCAGGTAAATAATAGTAGAACGAAAACTCGTAATACCTCGTTATGATTAACTGAACGAAACTTAACCTAAGAAATGTATTATTAATTGTTTTTCAATATTTTTCTCCACTGATCGTCAGATTGAGTCGCACATTTGAAGTGATTTTAATAAAATGAAAGATAGAGAAAGCCA